ATTCAACGATCGGATGCAGAAGACTAGAAGTAGATGCCTCGAATACAAATACAACAAGGTTAGAATGCTTAGAAGCTTTACTTTCATGTGTTTTTGATATTTATGTAAAGTTTTTCAATTGTTGCCTTATTCAACAGTAGATGTGCATGTAAAACTGAAACCCTTCTGCTCTTGCTGCATCACTTTCACTGTGGGACAACCTTAAAAAATAGGACTGAAGAAACTGTAAGACAGACCGGCGTCCCAGTCTGTCTTCCAGTCTGGCCAACAAGGACTGCAACCCCACTAGACGCAGGAATTTAGCTTTGCACTCCATAACAGTAACATTTACAAAAGAGTGGAAAAAAAACAATAAAAAAGAAAAACTGAAAAGAAAAAAAATCGAATGTAATGAAAGAGAACCCATTAAAGGATAAGTGTGAAGAAAGAAAAGGCATTTCAACCACTTTGCACATTAAGAAAATAGGGCAACTGCCAAATATAAACAAGACTTCAACAAGGTATCAATATGGGCTCCTGCCTTGCTTGCTTAATTAAACCAAGCAATAATCCTAATTTTAAAACATATTTTCACCCACTGAATCTGATCATTGGCACTAACCTCTTTCTTTCTTTACAGATGACCACAGGCACCCTGGCATGAAAGTCTGCTTCCACATTACAAAAATAAGCTGAAAAGAATTAAATCAATAAAACAGAAGACATTAATGCACATTAGCAGCATGACAGTTTTTATAGTTATGGTGGGATTTCTTCGTTAAAGGATGGTTTGAAGGATAAGGTGACTTACGACTCTCAGAGAGAGCCTCCTTAACCACCAACAAGACATCTGGTTGATGCATCTGTGGATAAAATCCAATTCAAGAGCTTTACACATCAATAAAAAATGAGATAAATGTGGGAAAATCTACAACCCAATATTAAAAATACGATTTACAATGTGAAAATTATTCCACGTGTCAGACATAGTGATAAGACATGCATTTAAACAGTCAAACTCACAAACTGTTACTTACGTGAGGTGGGTACTGAATGTCAATGTTGACATCAGAGTCCTTAAATCCAAACTTCGTGCAAGATGAGCCATAAAGCCTGAGCCGTATTTCTGCAAGACGAGAAAATAAAAAAAGATTCCAATAGAACTGTCACAAATTAGTCAACAGATTTTAAACAGTGTGACCCGACGGTCTGTGACATGCAGGTCATTAGGTAAAAATTTAAAAAATCACCTGGCAGGACGGACAGTAGAACGTCTTGCATGACGGAAACAAGACTCTCTCTCTTCAAAACATCCTGGTCATTCATCCCATGCTCATGGACAACCGCATTTAGAGCTGCAGTCACTGCACTGATGTGCTCCGGACCAGGAGGCATGATCTCAGTTAGCATCAGCTGCTCCTGTTTCTCCTGTGAACACAAACAAAAACATACGCAGCGGTTTTCTAAAGGATTCAGACTCCTCCAACTTTATTACATTTTCGTCGCATTACAACTCCAAACGTCATTAAAATTGCAAAATAATTCAAAATAATTTCTTACCCGAGCCCTCTTCTTGTGCCGTTTGTCTCTGACGTGCTTGAAAGCATGAGATATAGATTCCAGGGGAATATCACACAAAGCGCAGGTGTAAAGTGCACCAGGATTGCCATGGCAATTCTAAAAACAAAAGTCACTAGTACAATATTCTTGAAGTCAAGGTGTAAACAGTTTAAATACTGTGTATTTGACAGTCAGTACCTTCCTTAGTGGGTATATCTCATCTCTCCTTAGTCTTTTCTCTACTTGGCGTGTGGTTTGGAGATCTTGAACTGGGACTCTGACTTCCTCCATTTCAAGGCCCTTGCACTCTTCAGCCAAGGGTTTCTTCTTGTTTCTGTTTCTCTGTCTTCTTCCTTCGGAATAAGAAATTAAAGTCATTAATTAGTGATGTGTAGACATATCACAAATGGTATGCAGGGAACGCGAACAGATTTAAGATACAACCCCAATTCCAACAAAGTTGGGATGTTGTGTAAAACATAAATAAAAACAGAATATGAAGATTTGCTCATTCTTTTCAACCTGTATTCAACCGATTTCACTACAAAGATGAGCGTTATATTGTTCAAACACATAAGAGATGTTCACTTTTGGATTTAGATGCCTGCAACACATTCCAAAAAAGTTGGGCCAGAGGTAAGTTTACCACCTCATCCTTGCTTTTGCCTTTATACTGCATCATGACACTCACCTGTTTTAAATGAACCTGTTCGCCTCTGGAATGTTCCAAACAAATGTTTGAACTTTCCTTTTCAAATCTTTTGTTGCTTCTGTTCTGACTTTTTTGGGACATGTTGCAGGGATCAAATTCCAAATGAGTTAATATTTTCAAAACCACAATAAAATAAAGTTTTCCGCTTGGACATTAAATAATGTTCCTAAAACATTATGATATTTTAGGAACATCTTGTGTTTGCAGTGTATTCAACTGAATATAGGTAAAAAGATTTGCAAATCACTGTATTCTGTTTTTATTTTTGCTTTACCAAACATCACAACTTCATTGGAACTACGTGATTACCACATTCGAACACATCTTAGTTTTAATTTGTATTCTTCTTTTGTCACACACAACAACTTTCCAAAAGATCTCACCAGGTTTATGAGCGACGTCGTCTGTGTCCTCTCTCATTCCGTACTCATTTGAACTTTCTGCCTGGGTTCTCCTCCTCCAGTCGAGCTGCTGCGAATGTCCTCTCCAACTTTCCTCTTGACTGAAATCGTCTCTCCGAGAGGGGCTTTGACCACCTCTGAATCCACCAGGCGAGTAGCCCAGGGGTCCCAGGCCTCCCTTCTTGGGACTTGCATTGTAGGGACCACCCTGGCTCTTCTTGCCGTGCTGACCTCCCTCTGATCGCGAGTTATGTCCACGAATATGGTCCTGCATTTTCCAATTTTCTCCCTTGCCTGATGCTGTAGCTCCCTTCTCCCTGCTTTTCTGTTTAGACCTATAGGGTTTGCTCGAGTTTTCCATGATTCACTTTTGCTATAACTGCAGGATGACATGTAATTGTAATTTAGAATTGTTTTTTTGAATTGTCCAAGGTGTAGAAAATATAAGAGTAAACAACAGCGTTTAAATAAAAGCTATACAATTCAATTCTGGAACTCTTTTCAAATAAAACAGTGCAAAAAAACACAAACACAACAAAAATAACACAGACAATTCAAAAGACCCACATGAATTGTGTAGTAGTAACTATGGAAACTTGTAATCATTTTGGTTTTAGCAATTTTAGTCATTTTGAGACACTGTTTTGCAACAGTATTTCTGTTAAAAAGATTAAATAAAACCTGTCTAGTTGACTATCTTCAAAGCCTCCAACTTTGACACATAACTTTTTTATGCAAGTAGTTTGAGGAAAACAAATGATTTAAAAAGAAACACGCAGCATTAATAGTTCTTTAATCAGAATCCACTCGACTAAAACATAATATATCCGCTTAAATTCGGTGTTTGTGTTCTTATCAGCTTGCTTTCTGACTTTTAACCTCTAACTTTTATTGGTAGATACTGACAAGAGTAGAAATTTAATTCGACGGGAAGAATGTCTAAAATAAAATTAATCGAAACATAAAACTATATGAGTAAAACATATAATCAACAAACATTAAGGCTGCTATTTTCGGATAGACTTCTATTAGGCAACACGGCTCAATATACGTGGCTAACTGCGAGTCATTTACCAATGACTGTAAGGTTTTTTAGCTTAAGTTAGCAGCGTCTGCAGCATGAATTCCCGCTACCACTTCCTCGAGTTAAACCACACCAATTACGAACGTAACCAACAAATAACATACATGTTGGATAAATCCAAGACAGCTCACTGCCGCGTCATAACATAGCTAATGTTAGCAGCTAATGTTTAGCTTGCCACTTAGGATAGCTACACAGTTAGCCCAGATGCTAATGTTACGTTTTGTGTTGCGTTTTCTTTTCGTCGGTAGCTGTGGTCTTATAAAGCCTTTTGTTAAGAGACAGATACAAGAGTACACATTGTGGTCAAAATACGTTATATTCGTGGACATGATACATACTTGTCGGGTTGTTCATGTTGTCTTGCTGTTGAGTTTGAAAGATGACGTAAAGGACAAGGACTGGCTTTTTTTTTTTTTTTTTTTTAAATCATGAGCATTACAGTGAAGTATCACACAGTTCCAAATAAAATGTGCATATCATGAAAGATAAATAGACTTTTTTTCAGTGGCCCTAATCCTCTTCCGTATGAACGCGTTCATCTGGGAAATAAATATAATAACACTGACTAAAATACAATAAACAAGGTAAATCATGACCGAAAAGGAAGTGCAACGTCATAACCTTTAACACATATAAGATCAATAACCCCTATAAGCCACATGTTAAAACAGGTTTTTGTCAAAGAAAAATATGTCTTGTAATAAAAAATAACTGAAGACAATCAATTCTTATAAAAGTGAACTTGAATTATAGAAGAAAGTCACTAAAGAAACAGTACAATGACAGTACAAGTAAAATACAACAAAATTGAGAAGTACTAAAGAAGGATATGTTTATGCAGGAAATAAAACTATAAAAAGGAAAATGAATTACTGTAATAATGAAATAAGATATCACACAAAATAAAAATAATTCTGATAAATAAAATATAACAGAGCAATTATGAAAGACAATGACAACAGCAGTGCAATATACCGTCGGTTATCCGAAATTTTGAATCAGAAATTAGTCCAGCCATTAATTAAAATGAATAAAAATAAAAATCTTAAAACTGGTAACTGTATTACATTCTACTCAGTTGTTCACTCCTCAAAAGTTGATTATTTCACATTTTCAAATGAGCAACCAACGTGCGATGACAATTTTAGGTGACACTCTGTTAAATTTACACCTTATGAAATAAACTTTGTTTTTCATTTAACCTGTGAATAAATATGTTTTTTATTGCCTATTTGTTTTGTCCTGCAGAGTAAGTCTAAAAGCAACAGCTGCTAGAATTGCCACATGGCAAAGGTTTGTTAATTAAAACCAACATGGGATGGTGAGACTGAGCTCCCGTTGCCTGAGCAACGGAAGAAAGCCGAGACCCAAGAGCGGGGACTACCCCGGGAAAAGTGACGTCACTACGCGGCACAACTCTCCATGGAGCATCGAGCAAGGTGAGAACTTTATACACAAAAGCCCTAAAGACTGACGGACAGGTAGACATGGTGTCATTTAGAAAGGACGATTCAGTTTGCGATACATTTTGTAAAAGAAGACTCACGCCGCCTCGGCAGACTGCTCGGCACAGAAAGCAGAGACTTATGTCCAAACTGTGTGACTCTGGATTCGAGGACGATCTGGTTTCCTCTCCCATTCCGCCCCGTTGTCGGACGAATGCATCCCAACTGGAGTCAGAAGAATCAGAGTCCGCTGATGGACAGCTGTCCCACTGGTACCTTCAGTACGGAGACGTCGGTTTCAGGATCCAGAGGGAGAAAGAGTCGCAGTTTCATCCCTGCCAAAGCCTGGCACGTCAACCACAAGTAGGCCAGCAGAAATATAGCCTATTTACAGTAGATGATTGAGAATCAAAAATACGTAACTGGCTTATTCTGACTTGATTGAACACATGCAGTAATATGCATTAGATTTTTAATGTCAAACTACAATTTGACATCATCTTTTAGTTTCTTTCAAGACAATTTCGCAGAATATGTACTGCTGCAAAAGCAGTAGCATCCGTGCTTCAAAGTAAACATGGATTTCTTATGTTTTGTCTTTAGATTTTAATTTAACTTTTGACACCCAAACAGAAATGTAAATTTTCCAAACAGAACTTATAGCTAAAACATCTTATAAACAAATACAGCTTTTCCCAGTCTCAAGGAAATCTAAAATCTTTGCCATTTTTCTATCTTGAAGTTTTTAAGGCTTTTGGACTACAATGCTCCTCAATGACAGCCATTATACACAGATGGAGACAACATGGAAAAGTGGTAACCTTCCATATTAGAAGGAGTGCATAAAGCTACATCTGGGTAATTTGGTTGTGTGATGGTCTCAGGTGGATGTTGTCCATCAGAATAATTTATCAAAATTATTCTGAAGGAATCAAAAATTCTGCTCTCTGCAAAACAGAGTGAGCTGAAATCCCCCCAGACCGAATTAAATGATTCATTTCCATTTATTGCAAACTCTTAATGGTATTTAACGCTGATAAGAGTGGTACAATCATTTATTAGATTTAAAAGGCAAATACTTTTTTCATACAGCATGACTCGGGTCAGTTTTCTGATAATTCTTTACTCTGCCTGCAGCTGACTGCAGATGCACGCTGTAAGCTGGTGAGCTGGCTCATCCCCGTCCATAAACACTTCCGTCTGTCCTTTGAGTGCTGCTGCCTGACAGTGAACATCATGGACAGGTTCCTGGCGTCCACTCCAGTGGCCACAGACTGCTTCCAGCTCCTGGGTGTCACTGCACTCCTCTTAGCCAGTAAACAGGTAAGTCTTCAGTGAAGTCTTTCAGAGGCAGATCCCTCTGACTCCATTCAGATATCTCCCCATCTCTTTTTGTGTCTCTGTAGGTGGAGGTGCACTCTCCATCGGTCAGCTATCTCTTGTCTCTGTGCTGTGATGCTTTCACCAAGGAGCAGTTCTGCAACCTGGAGTGCCTCGTCCTGCTCCGCCTTAACTTTCGCCTCGCCTCGCCCACCCTGGCCTTCTTCCTGGATTACTTCAGCAGTCTCGTCGAGGCTGCCCAGTTTGTGATTAAGAACAACAGCGGTGATGGGTTTTCAGGAGTGAGTTCAGAGATAGCAAAGATCAGAAAGTGCAGTGAGCTTGCACAAAAAGTATGTGAGTTGACTCTAGCAGACTATGCTTTCAATAAATACCCACCGTCTCTGATTGCTTGCTGTGCCCTGAGACTTGCATGCGAATTACTGAGACCCGAACGCTGCGTTGCAGAGCAGGCAGACGTAGAGTTGGTGGAAAACCCATGGGAATGTTTCAGAGGAGATCTATGTATGCAGCCGGTTTGTATCCAGTCATGTGAAAGCTCTGCCTTTAGTCCTGGGCAGTGTTTGACAGGGGAGGTGACTCCTGATCAGGACTGCAGTCTGGTGCAGGAATGCAAAGACAACCTAAAGATGTTGGTGTCACTAAATCAGGAGACTCTAAAAGTGAGGCCATTAATGTAGAACATCACCTTAGAAAGTTAAAAAAGCTGGTTTCTAATCGTTTTTTCTTAGTCTATGATGTGTTTGGGAAGCAATGCATGATAATGATTTATTTTCGTAGATGTGAGCTGCTTACAGCCCTCATGAACAGTCATATGTTTGCAACCACTAAAGGTTTACTTGGTATTATATTTGATTTATTTGTGTTTCTACTCACACATTTCTGTAATCTGTTTACTGAAGGATTTTTGAACCATTGTATCTTATTTATTAATTGTTTTAAGTAATAAAGTGTATGAAAAAAAAATTGCTGGCTTTTACTTTGGTAGTGCGATGCAGCAATCCAGAGCTCAGGTTGTGCAAACTGACCACAGAATAACTGATGTAATAAAGATACTTGTGCAAAATTGTTATAGAAATATACCAAAATACACCAAATCCGAAATTGTAATGAAAGGTGGTTCTATAAAGCATTGATTCAGAGTTGCTGAACATATAAGAACTGCACATTTAAAAAAGAAATAAAGGAAAACTCCTCCAGTTTTATAATTTCTAGTTAGCTCATAAATTCACCATCAAATACAATAAAGTTGATTGTAACATTTGAAAAAGCTAATGGGGTTATTCTCATATTTATCCATAGTCACACATTCGTCACACATGTAAGACATAACTTCTGCCAATCGCTGCCATTTCCACTGGCCACTGCGCTGAAAGAAAGCAGAAAACCAAGACTATTGAAATGGGTCAAATAACAGTCAGTGAATAACATGTCAGGAAAACAACACAGATCAATTAAAATGTGTCAATCTGATGCAAAATAAAATCATTAATCTATTCAACACGGGCACAAGTCGCCTGAAAGCCAATGAACATGAGACAGGGGACCTTTCCATCTCACTGCCAGAAGAGAGAACCACACCATTTGACCCTCTATGTGATTTTGCTGATACAATTCGGGTTGCAAGGAATCAAAACATTAAAATATATATATATATATATATATATATATATATATATATATATATATATATATATATATATATAT